ATTTTTGTATTTACTGTTTTTGTTGTATTTCTGTGTATAGGTGAGGAGCTGTTTTTTTTTGTTTTGTTTGTGTTCGTGGACAAACAGGGGATTGTATCTTTTTGGTTTTAGTTTTTTTTTGTTTTTGCGTTTGCGTGTCGAGTTGTCATGTTTTTGTTGTTGTTTTTTTATTATTGACTCTTGTTAGTCACTTACTATTTTGTCTTGTTTTTTTTTTGTGTAACTTTTTTTAGGAAAGTGTGTGCTGAAAAGGGGTGTATACTTCTGTATTCGCTCATTGTATATATATTTATATACAAATATTTTTTGTTTGTATTGCATGCACGCATCGTTGCGCTTGTTAAGGCATGCAGGCAAAGGAAATATATTTAGCTTCTACTACCGTTGTGTGCAGTTCTCACCACACCCTGATAAACAGGAAACTGGCGGCGAGGATGCGTTTCTTTCGCTACTTGGAGTGCAGGCGGTTTTAGATGGTGTGAGTTGGTGGAAGGAGCATCGCACGGTGGATGCTGGTTTATACAGTGCTGCGCTTGCCCGTGCGATGCATGCGTATGTGGAGGAAGAACTAATGGGCGAAAATCCCGCCTCCTCGTTGGATGTTCTGCAGCACGCATATGATGTATGTAAGACGGAAGAAATTGAAGGAACCGCTACAGCACTTGTAGCGACACTACAGCCGTTGCGTGAAGAAGAGGTAGCGACTGCGAATAAAAGTGGCAACAGCTCAAACTCCGTTTTAGATATCTGTAGTCTTGGAGATTGCACGGCGGTGTTGGTTCGTCGTGGGCGTGTGGTGTTTGTGAGTAGTGAACAGACACACGATCTTGACTTCCCATACCAATTGGGAAAAGGTAGCGGAGATACACCGTCACGTGCGTTGAATTACCGCATACCAGTAGAGGCCGGCGACATGCTGTTACTAGGGAGTGATGGTGTGTTCGACAACCTCTACCCTGTTCGTGTAGCTGATATTGTGTGGTCGCCAGTAAACCGAGTGCGCATGGAGCACAACGTTGACAGCGGCAGCACAGCGTGGAGAAACAAACCGCTTCTCTTCTACGAGAGTATGATGCACGCCATCGCAACAGGGTCGGAGGATGCACTGCGGGAGGCGCGATGTGCTGCACGGGACTTGCATGCGGATACTCCATACGCCCATAAGGCAGTAGAGGGTGGGGCCTACTACGAGGGTGGGAAGCAGGATGACATGACATTGCTTGTGTCTATCATTGATGAGGAGTGTGAGATGGGGACGGGGGAACGTATCATACGCAGTACGGTGATGAATCCATATCCGTACAGAGATTGGCCATAATCTCATCTCATAGCGGTGGCGGGAGAGAATTACTTGCTTGTGTTTTTTTTTTTTTCCGTTTCGCGTTATTTTTTCTTTTTTTTTTCTTTTTTTCTCTTTCTCTTTGTCTTCGTACGTATGTAAGAGGGTGAGAAAGGGATAAGAGAAAAGAAAAAAAAATATTGAGGTGAAAGGGGCTGATGAAATGATATATATATATATATATATCAGTAAATAAAAAGAGTTTTATGCTTAAAGAATATAGGGAAATAAGAAAGGGAATGGAAGTATAGGAAGCCCTTTATAAAATATATTTTGCAAAGAAGAAGAGAAAATATTGATATTCAGTATATATATATTGAATGTGAAAGGGGAGGGATGAGACGTTAGGTAAAGCATTTTCTGCATCGTTATGTGATGCAGAAATATGGAAAAAAATATATAATATTTTTCCATTTGACGGTATCTGATGAGGTTAAAGACACAACTTTCCAAAAGCGTGCTCTTTCTGTTAGTTTTTTTTTTTTTTTTTTTTTTTTTTTTTTTTTTTTTTTTTTTTGAGAGTTTGTGAAGGGGGATGATCTAACCCTACAATTTTGTGGTAATATATGTATATACATATATGTGTTTTAGATTTTTTTTCCTGCCTTCTCTGGTATAAAAGTGGTATTGTAGTGTGAGTTTTGAAAAGCTTAACTAACCCATTCCCCTTCTATTTTTACGTGGGGAGGTGGGTTAAAGATACCTTCAATACCTCCTTTTCAGGAAGTGCTACACGTTCATGGGGATGAGAAGTCTTTTTTTTTTGTTGGACTTCTCTGCGGGATTGATTAAAATATCATAAAAATAAATAATAACTCAGAGCACTAAAAAAAAGATATTTTCTTATACCTTCTTTTGGTTTGTTTGTTTTTTCTTCTATTTTGGAAATGTAAGGCATAGATTATTCCTTTCCTTTCCTGCTTTCATTGGTGTGAGTCTTTTTCTGAATTTTATGTGTGACAATTGCAGAAATATTATTATTCTCTTGGGTGGAGGGTAGGTGGTGTGAAGTGCGAAAAGAGTGGAAAGGATTTTTTTTTTTTGGATTTATTTTCTTTTTTCCTTCCTTTTTTTGCGCAGAAGTGCAAATGTGTTGGTGGAAAATACACACAAATGGATGGTACTCTTACAACAACAACAACTACTACTACTACAACTACTACTACTACCACTACTACCAATACCATTACTACTAGAGGTCTTATTTCTGTTATTGTCATCACTGCTGTGATTTTTTTTTTTTTTTAATTCTTGACTTGCTGTACTGTTTCAATTCTCTTTTATGTTGTATTATTTTCTTCATTCTGATTACGTCTTTGTTGAAATACAATCTTTTGTTTTCATTTTCGCGTCCGTGCTTGTAGATAGTGTGCTGCTTTTATTGCTTTTCTAGCTTTCCCTCGGTATGAAAAATTTTTTGTATGTATTAGCAGTCGTTTTTCTGCATTTCTATTTGTATTTAAATGGGCAACAGAGAGGATATTTTGGGTTTGTGAATGTATGTGAGTGAATCTGAAGTGGTTTGTGAATACGCTTGGTTTTAATTCACTTTAAGAAAAAAAAGGAAAATATTGTTGAAGAAATGGAGGGAACATCAGTTACCCTGCCTCTCTGTTTGTATATGTATGTGTACAAGTGTTATTGTATTTTTGCAGGCACTCCTATCTATAAAAATAAATAAATAAATATATATATGGATGAGCAGAAATGTTTTTTTTTTTTTTTCTTCCTGTGGTGACAAGATATGGTGTAAACCATCACGTATATTCTTTACGTAAGGTACGTGTTTCACTGTGCTTGTGTGTGTATTTATGGGAGAGAGAGAGAGAGAGTCTGTGTAGACGTGCATGGTTGATGAGTTTTACGCAGACTTTTACCGCATTTTACATGTGAGATTTTTTTTTTTCACTTTTTTGTTTCGTCTGTGTTACCTTTGCTACTTGTGTTACTCCTTGCTCGTTGTATTTTTATTTTATTTTTGAGGTAAATGAAGGAGTGAAGGTCAGAGAAACTACTCTTCATGGAGCAATTGGTGGGATATCTGCGATACAGTTGTAGAGATATATTGTTGACACTTTTTTTTATATCTCTGAAGGAAATAATAATAATAATAATAATAATAATAATAATAAAAGAAATGAACTGTTTTCGCATTGTGCTTGGCTTTTTTTTTGTTTTTTTTTTGCATTTTTTTTCTTTTTTTGTGGTTTTGTGTTGTTTTCTTTCCTTGAGTGTTTTTCTTCTTTAGTACAAAACTTCATAATAAAATACTGTTTTTTTCTTCTTGGTTTCTCATTCTCATTTTTTCTTTTTTTTAAAAAAGAGAAAGAAGAAAGAAAATATTATTATTATTATTATTATTATTATTATTCTCGGTGGAAAAATGAATGACAAACTACTGTGAAGGGATCTGATAGTTGATTACACATGAGAGAATGAAATAGTTGTATTGCGTTAATCCCACAAGTGCGGCAGTTCACTCACTGTACGACTTCATCTCTCCGCATGCGACTTTATATAGGCACTGAATGAATATACACAAACACTCTTATGGAGAATTAATGGCCATGACTGAAAGGAACTCTCTCTCCCTCTCTCTCTCTCTCTGTTTGCATATATATATATATATATAGATAATTAGAGGAAGTATGGGAAAATATTATTTGGAAAACGTTATGGGATTTAATGACTGGATGGCCTATTGTTTCATTACAATAGAGGGATACTCTTTAGATATATCCAGTGTGAGTTGAGGTTACATGATGGTTAGTTGTAAAAGAGAAGAAAAAGGCAAACAAACAAGAAGGAGTTCTTTCTTCTCCCATTATATGTGATATAAAATATAACTAGAGGTATCCCTGGGGATCTTGTTTATTTTTTCTCATTCTTCTCTTGTGCGTTTCTTATCGTCTCTTATTTGAGTTTTTTTTCAGTATGAGTTTACCTAAAAGAAGTAATTATTACACATTATACATATTTTTTTTTTTTAATCAATTTATTTATTTATACTTGAAAAATCTCAGTGTTTTTGGATGTCGTTTCCATTTGACTATCATCAAACAGGATTAGGGAGAAAGTACCATTTATTTATTTTTCTTCTCTCTTTCTCTCTATAATTCTCTCATTATGTAGACGTTTTAGATGAGTGGCTGTGGGCGAAAGCACCGCGCGAAGCATCTCACGCGGCAGTTTCTCGATACATCTGCATGGACGGGACCAGCCGACGGTGAGTGCTTGGCGGTGTGTGTAGAGTCCCCCCAGGGACAACACCTACGCGTGCTTCTGTGCGAACCACACACGATTAATAATAATAATAATAATAATAATAATAATAATAATAATAATAATAATAATAATAATAATAATAATAATAATAGTAACACCAACAACGATACGAATAGTAATAGTCATGGTAGTAACAATAACAATAACAACAGTGATGAGAAAAACCATGCCAATGGTGTTGACTGTATACTCATGGATGATGGTATGTGTCTAGTGGAGCGGTTGGTATTATTTCCCGGCAAATTCCGTAAAGTTATTTGGCTTGGCGTGAAGGACGTTATCGTGATTGCCGATCGCACAACTGTAGCCTTCAAACCGTCACCAGAGCAACTCAAACGTTTCTACCGTGAACACCCGCAGTGGCAGTCGTGGCTGACAGCCGCACAACAACGCGTGGAGGAGCGCAGACGAACCGCAGAACCACAACAGGCATACGCACGGACATCACACAATGCTAATAATACTAATACTACTACTACTAGTGATGGCACTGTGATTACAAACGCAACTACAACATCAGTGCTACCAATGGTATCAGGAGATACACGTACAGAAGATGAGATGCCGTTGAATCCTAACCGTAACACTATCAAACATCGTCAGCAGTTCTTCTACGGTGATGATGACGATGACGATTGTGAAGAAGAAGAAGAGGAAGAAGAAGAAGAAGAGAATGATGATAGTGGTGAAGAAGAGGAAGAAGAGGGAGAGGGAGAGGAGTGCATTACAGGAGGCCAGTAACGTGGTGATATGTACTGTTGGGAGATGATATCATGTTGTTTGACAGGTTAATCGTGTAATAGATAAATATATACAAAACAACTGCAAAGAAGAAAAGAAATAAAAAAAAAAACTTATAGTAGCAAGTGTTCTTATCTTGATATGTTGATATCTTGTTCTCCTTTTTTTTTCTTTTTCTTTTCTTTTTTTTTTCTCTGCTCTGAGTTTTCAATTCATTAGAAATAAGGGAGTTCATTTTCGGGAATGATTCACCCGCATGGGCCTCTTGCCCCTTCTGGAGATGTTATGGGGTTTGACTCATCTTCTTTGGTTTCTGCAGTCTCTAATGCCTGGATGAATGTACAATCGTACTTTATGGAATTTCAAATGGCTGAGGATGAAAATATCCGTAAAAAACTTGCGAGTCGTCTTCCTCAAGTGGAGAACTACTTACAAGTGATATTAGATGCACTTGCACAGGAACGTACACATATGGTCTTTTTTACACCACCAGTATCCAACTTAAGAACTATGGATAAGGGGAGTGTAAGCAGTGTGAGCAGCAGGAGTAGTTTTCTCACATCACCTAAACAACCAGCTTCACTTCACTCTTATGGAAATGGTGGTATAAACGTAGATAAAGTAGCATTACTTACACCATGTTACACTTTTTTATGGAGTGATGTGGCATTTTCATCTTTACCTGAGAAGGATATTAAAGTAGAGGAAGAATTATTCCCTATTGGAAATATATTCTTTATTTCTTTATGTCAATTTGCAAAACATGATGAACCACCTGGATCACGGTTAGTTATACTTAGATTCTTTACTCGTTTACTCGCTGATTTAGATCTCCCACGTTCCATGCATATGGGAGACCCACCCCGATCACTACTGCAGATGTTCTCCAGCAATACAATAGTACCACTAATAGATATGATTTGCAAAATTGGACTCTCGCTTCGATCTAAAACACCGACAAAGAACAAAGTAGCAACTGCTGTTCCTCTCTCTTCTTCTTCTACTACTACTACTACGGAAGTTGAGAGAAAATCAGTAGATGATGAGTGGGAAGCATTTCTGACACTTTTGTGTACTTTAACTGAACGAATGGAACAAGTCCCTGCATTAGCCGTTTTCTTTTTACCTACTGACGCTATAGAAAAAAGAGGAGATATTGAAAATAATGAAGTAGAAGTAAATGAAAGAAAAAAAAATGAACCATTATTTTCATTGCCACGGGAATTATTATCTTATGTACCACTTTCTCAAGGTCCACCACAGTCGGAAAAACGAAATGAAATATGCCGTTTAGCACTACGAGGATTATTAAATCTTGCCAAATGTCCAGATCCAGATGTTCAGGATTATGTAAAGCGTTATACAGAGGTGGTTACAGTAACGTTAACAGAGGCACGCACCATTCTTCTTACACTTTGTAAAGTACCTGAAAATGATGATGGTGTAGCTCAATTAACTTGTCTTTGCGATGTGCTTTCATTTTGGACAGAATTACTTTTTTTAGCTCCTGCAGTGGCAGAAGCTTGGGAAATAGAACACACGATAGAGTCTTGTTTCGTGCGGGAAACACTCTTACCACTCTTTCAATCTGTGGATGAGAATGTGTACGCTGCAGCAGCTGTGGTGGCGGCCAAAACTGTACGTATGGTGGGCCGTGCAACCTCTTCTTTATATATTTCTTCACTAACACGTGCTTTACTAGGCACACAAGTGGACGTATTAACAGGAAAACTAACAACCATAGTCTTACCACCTCCTAATGCTCCCCTTAAAGAATCTTCTTCTGCATTTCCTACTACTACTACTAGTACTACTACTACTACGAACAATAACACTAGTATCAGTAGCAGCAGTAGTAGTAGTAATAGTAGTACACCTTCTGGTACAATAATCTCACTCTTGGAGTACGTTTTGCTACCGCATCTCACAATGCAGCCTAGAGATGATTGGAGGAGCACAGAAGTGACACTTCACCTTCTTAATACACTCGCATTGTACGAACCGGTTCTTTTTATGGAGTTTACACTATCACTTTCTTTATCTACTCTTACAGAGGTGTACATGAAGGGGTTATCCAATCATAGTATACAATCAAAAAATAAAATAGTGGATGGGGATAATCCAACTTCAAAGGATGTTACAAATACTACAACAACTACTACTACTAATGTCAATGATACGACGAGCAAAAGAAAACATGTGGATTGTCATCATCAATTACAAATGCTTGATTTTGATCTCTCTGCTTCGTCAACGTCACCATCTTTAGATGTATCCACTTGTTTTCCTGAACGTCTTCGAGCCCCAAAGGGAGTTTTACTCTGGACTGATTCGGAATGTATCGCAGAAGAGATTTTAACTCGCCTGCTACTTGTTGAAAGTCATGTTCCTACTTCATTGCTTGAAAAACGACAATGTTTGATGAATCGTTCCTGCAGAAGTCATTGTGAAGATTTGATGGGTATTCTTACTCCTGATAAAGGAAAAAACTCTACAGTAGCTGAAACATCTTCACCTTTCCAGGATAATAATGAGATGAATAGCAAACATAAAAACATTTGGTTTCATGAGGGAGTTCATTCATCATCCTTTATTCATCATCTCTGTGAGCTTACTTCACATATGGTATCTATTCCCCCAGATGTATGTACACTATTAACAAATCTATGGTGTACATTATGCGTCATGCCAGATCTTCGTGTTCTTTACACCCTTATGGATCCAGAGTATGGTAAACTTCGTCTTTCATTACTGAAGCTACGTGATACCATTGACATAACTCTTCAGCATGATGAAGAGCTGGTATTTAGCGTTGCATCGGCTGCGGCAGCCTCCGCGTTAAGCAAGAGGGGAAAGAAAACAAAAACATCAACATCATCATTATCATCATCCCTTAATGCTAAATTACCATCTATATCAGCAGCAGCGGCAGCGGCAGCGGCAGCAGCAGCAGCAGCAGTAGCCGTATCAACAGTAATGCCATCAAAATCCACACAGGAAGTATGCACTACCCATCGTCAACCGTTACAGAAGACAGTACAGGATTCCACTTCCCACGTGTATACACGCTCTTACTTGTATTCACAGTTTATTCAATTAGGGCCATCGTTGCGGTGGGTGGGAGGAGTGGTGGAGCGGGAGTTTCCAAATCATGATTTGCTTGCCGCTCTTAAGGAACATCGTCTATTTCTTGAAGTCTGTGCTTGTGTGGAGGCTTTCCGCATGGAACTGGACGCGGTCATTGGCCACGTAGCACTATCGCACAACCTTATGTGTCTTCAAACAGGAAATGAACATCAGGGTAGGATGCTATTGCAAAGCCAACCGTAGTAGACTGAGATTTTAATATCCCTTACGAAATGACACTCTTTTCATTTGTTTCTTTTTTTTTTTTGTTTTGTTTTTTTCGCGTTTTCATATTTTTGCTTTTTTTCCTTTCTTCTTTTGTTCTTTTCAAATCTTTTCTACTCATGCTGAATGGCTGTGTTGGATTCTTGCTAACAAAAAAAAAGAGAGAGAGAAGAAAAATATAAGAGGAAAGGAAGAGCTTCTTTTTTTTTGTTTGCTCTATATTATTATTATTGTTGTTACTGTTTTTTTTTTTGTGTTAAGCTTCTGGTATTTGGAAAAGAAAGAAAGAAAATAAAATAAACAATATCTTTTTATTTGTAAACGCCAATAGTTTTTCTTTTTCCTATATTTTTTTTCTCCTTTTCTTATTTTCTTATTATTATTTTTTTTTAGGGCCACAGAAAGAGTGTGCAACGAGAGGGAAATAAAAGAATTAAAAGGAGAGAGTGTGTGTGTTTGTATAGAGTAATAAATGTTGGAGTTAGATGGTAGAACACTAACATTTGAGCAGTTTCGTGAATGTTGTTTGAAGAGAAATTTCCCTGCTATTATTCGACAAGCTGTGAGAAACTGCGAGGAGGATGAGTCGAAAGAAAAAATGTTTTTCTCTTCTCTTGAAGAGATGAAGAAACGACTAGTACCAGAAGGTTTGATAAAGACATTTGGTCCGGATCATCTTGTTCCAACCGTGGAAACCATCACCGATGTTTCATTAGAGGATAATTCCTCTGATCTATGTATGGAATTTGGTCAAAAAACTCTGAATGAGGTAATGGAATGTTGGCGTAATAAAGAAAAAATACTTTATTTAAAAGACTGGCATATGCAGTCAGATGTAGAGTCTCTTTCAAATCAAAAAAAATCAAATGAAGTTTTTGGAAACTTTGAAAACAGTGAAGTTCAAGGTATTGTGCATGCTGATGGTTTATATCGAGTTCCTGACTATTTAGGAGATGATTGGATGGATGAGTTTTGTAGACGTTCAACTTTTGATGAAGCAAATTATAGTTTTTTTGGAGATGAGAAGAGTGACTATCGTTTTGCTTATATTGGACCACCTAATACTTGGACTCCTTTACATTTTGATGTTTTTGGAACGTATTCGTGGTCACTTAATGTATCTGGTGAAAAACTTTGGTTTTTTCCTTCACCTGAGGGTAATGAACACTTATTAGAAAGTGGACTTTATGGTCTAGCGTTAGCCCCTGATATTCGTATTACTACAGGAGCTGAAATTTGGACAGTTCATCAATACCCAGGAGATCTTGTTTTTGTACCAAGTGGATATTTACATCAAGTTCATAATATAAATGGACCCCGCTTTCCTTTGCATGGGAGAAAAAGTATACAGACAGAAAACGTAATGAATGGTACCGAACCCAGTGCCCTTAATAATAATAATAATGATAATAATGATGATGATGATGATAGCGTCCCATTAATCATTTCAATTAATCACAATTGGTGCAACGAGTGGTGTATAGAAAAAATGGTGGATGCTTTTTGCCGAGATGCCAACCGTATACAATATTTATTAACTGAAGAAGATCGTTTGGCTTTATTTGGTGATGACATTGTAGCATGGCACAAACATGTAGAACGCATGTTAATTTGTGGTACAAATTGGAACTTTGCCTCTATTCGTAGTTTTCTTAAATACAGACTTAACCATCTCAAAAATGACCATTCTCTTGTTAATGGAGGAGAAATTTCAGTTCAGCATCTTCTTGAGAAATGTCTTGATAAAATTGATGCTCTAGAATTGAGGGTGATTCACCGCAAGACAAGTTAGGAATTCTTTTTTTCTTTTTGTTTTCGATTTGCTGCATTTTCGCAGTTTGCCTATTACTTTTTTTTTTCTTTTGTAGGACGTGAGAATGAAACGTCAAGACATTTTTATTTTTATTATCTTTGGGCATTGGAATATTTTTTTATTTTCTTGTAATGCCGTTTTTTTTTTTGATTTTTTGTTTTTATATGGTTTATCGCAGAGGAAAATCGATTTTTTTTTTTTTTTTTGTTCTCTTTCTTCCTTGCTTCTTTTATGGTGTATTTTGTTTCCTTTTTTTTTTTTTTTCTGGTGATAGATTCTTTGGCGTCTAGTTGATTTTATTTTCTGAGCCATGAGCTCAGTTGTTAGCTTGGCACGGGATTGGGCGACTGCCCTTCATATCCCCAATATTCTACAGGGTTTAACGGGTGGTATGCGTATTACACTGGTGCCTATATTTGCCCGTCAACTTGGTTCTTCTGATGCTCTTTTAGGAGTTATCATTGGATCTGCTGGAGTATCGAAAGTTTTTCTTGATATCGTTTTTGGTTTTGCCACTTCTGCGTATGGTTGTCGTATGATCATGATGGCTGGAATGGTGGTGAATCTTCTTGGTATAATTGTGGCTGTTCTTGCACAGTCACCTTTTCACCTTATTTTCGCATCATTACTATGGGGAGCGGGTATTGGGGCATTCTTTGTTTCTCGCCATGTGTTTATTGCAAAGGCTGTTCCTAGAAATATTCGTGGTCGTCTCATGTCTATGATTGGTGGAGAGATTCGCTGGTGTTCTTTTGCGGGTCCGGCGTTGGGAGGAATTCTTGTAGATTACTCTAATGTTCGCCTCGCTGTGCTTTTAATGTTTCCCATGGCTCTTGGATGTGCATGTGTTGTGTCAGCAAGTGAAAAGATACGTGAAGTAGATGCTCAAAAACAAGATTCAGAGGAAAGTACTAGTATAAGTAAGGATCTTAATGCTATGATGACCGCTTTTTGGAGATATTGGGATGTTTTAATACGTGTAGGAGTATATTCTTTTAATATTATCTCTTTGAGACAAGGTCGTGGTATGTTATTAACACTCGCAGCCATGAATATGGGACTTTCTGCTTCTATGGTGGGTACTGTGTTAAGTTTATCTTATGTTGTAGATGCTACCTTCTTCTTCCTTGGAGGATATATTATGGATCATTTTGGACGTAAGTATGCGGCTATCCCTACTACAATAAATTTGGGAATTGCTTTCCTTTTACTAAGTCACTCAAATAACTTTACCTCTCTTATTTTTACTGCTTTTTATTTTGGTTTGGCAGATTCCACTGGTGCTGGTATTTTAATGACTCTCACTGCTGATCATTCACCACCTAGTGGCGGCGCTCCTTTTATGGGACTCATGCGAACTATGCAAGACTCTGGACAAGTATTTGGACCCATTATTTGTGGATTACTTGTCCAACATGTGAGTTTTTCATGGGCTTGCTATGTTATGGCTATTCTTGGTTTACTTAATGGGGTTTGGGCATGTATTATGATACCAGAGAAGTCTTGCTCACAAGAAGAAGAAGAACAATCAAGAGCTGCTGCTGCAATGGAAGAAGCAGTGTCATTAACTAAAATAGATATGAAAGCGAAGAAAACTGATGATGCTGGGGATAGTGAAGTGGTGGTAATGGATATATCAGTGAAAGAATAATGAGATAACGGTTTGAATAGTGACATGAACGTTAACGATATATATATATATATATACAGAGAGAAAAAAAAGGTCTTCAACTAGGGAAAAAGGGAAAAATCGAGGGGCTGATATGAGAGTCCCTAGTCTGTTTTTTTTTTTTTTTTAATGTTTCAGCGTTAATTGCCTTTTGAGTCTTTCTTATTCTTCCTCCCTTGTAAGAGCAATAAATAATAATAAAAAAAAAGAGAATATTATAAAAGGTGAATGTATTCTATTTATATTAATGCTTGGCGTGGTTTTTTTTTAAAGCAAAAAGAAATTATTCGTTTTGAATTATATGAGAAAATTTTTCTATCTTTTGACGTTCGTAACAATACCAATTTTTATTTATTTTTTTTATTATTGTTGTATCTAATGGCTAATACTTGATCGACTATGATAGCGGTTTCTATTATTTGAAAAATCTTCTTAAACCATTTATCCCTCTCTCCCTCCTTCTTACTACTACTATTCCTTCGTATCCCTTGCCTTTTACTACGACTACTATTTTTTTTTTTTCCTTCTCTGTATATAATGTTTTCTGTTTTCTTCATTGTTGCAAATTTATTAGTAGGAAGATAGAAGAAAAAAATAATAATAGCAGGATGTCACGACAAGCTGTTGGTTGGTTAAGTTCAAAACTCGGTATCAACATTGATGGGCGAACGGATGCCGAGGAAAAGAACTCAGCATCTTCCTCTCATATGACGGGTCCTGCCTCTACACTTGACATGTGTTTACACAAAATCAATAATGCCGTTTTTGGTCGTGATATCGATACCACTTCTTCATCCTTTGCGGCGGCGGTTGGTTTAGAAGGTGGGAGTAGTGCGAATGACAACACAGGCGTTGGTGTAATGACTGGAAGGGGTGGAGGAGAGGAGGTGGAACTTGACGAGAATGGCCTACCGGTATCGAAAAACTGGTACTACTTTGATAAGGAACTGAATCGCTGGAATGTAAGCCCAGACGCCCCACCGCATATTAAAGAAGAATATGAACGGAGACTAAAAGAGGAAGAAGATGAGCGGGAGGGACGTAATGTGATTCCACCTCCTCCACCCCCTCCTTCTTCACTCTCCCCGTCAACCAACACCACCACAGGAGGAGTAGGAAGAGGAATAGGATCGATGCCATCCACAGCGCCTTCCTTATATCCTAGCAGTAGTTTACCATCCGGTGGGATACCACAACAGGGTATTCATCCGCAAGGACTGTTTGGGGCGCGGGGAACACTGGGCGGAACGCAACACGGTCCACAGTATGCTGTGCCAAGTTACTTTAATACAATTGAGACCTCAACCAACACTTTGGAAACACAGCAACAGATGCCATCGATGCCTATGCAAACTCAACAGCCTCAACATATGCCATATCAGCATCCTATACAGCATAACAGTTTTCAACAACAACAACAACAACAACAACAACAACAACAACAACAACAACAACAACAACAACAACAGCATTTGTATCCTCATCAACAAGTTCAATTTCCGCCGCCGCCTCAAGAGCATCAGAATCAACAGCAACAACAACCGCAGTATCATCATCATTTAGAATCTCATCAGACACAAGTTCTGCCGCCCCCACACCACCACCACCAACAACAACAACAACAACAGTTTCCAACATCGGGATATCTCCCAGGGGTACAAGGTGCAGGCTCTCATGTGTCCCAATATCCCCCGTTTCAGGGCCAGCAGGATCTCCATTCATTGCGATGATCCAATGCAACGAATACAAAGAATGAAAAAAAAAAAAGTGTGGTACTGGTAGGAGAAAGAAAGAAAGAAAAAAAAATATTTACCCCAAGCACAATTAAATCAAAAAAAAGAAAAACAATTTCAGTGCTCTTTTTTTCTTTTTCCTTTTTTTTTGGCATTTTTTCATTGCATTATTGTAAATTTACACCAGCCAAGGAGATTGTCCTTGCGATGAAGCGGACATCATGAAGATACTTTCCTTTTTCATAATCTTGTTTTATTATTTTTGTTATTATTAAGGATATTATTTCCTTATTTTTATTTATTTTTTTATTTATTTTATATTGTCACAGTCTAAGTAATATTGGTGTGATAATTGCAAATATCCCGAGCTATTGGAGGAACAAGGGAAAAAAAAAAGAGAGTAGGGTGTAGAAAGAACGCCGGAAGGAATAGTAAAAGAAACAACAGCAAGAACAAAAAAAAAAGTAGAGGGAAACAAAGAAACATATATATATATATAGAGAGAGAGAGAGAGAAGAAGTAGGTTGGGAAAACAAACTAACCCATCTCCAAAGGATTCAAAATAACGACAACAACAACAGCAGCAAAAAGAAAATAAAGTATGGAATACCCATTGCATGATACTGCTGAGGAAGATGTGTATGCAGTCTTTGAACCGGAGTTAGAAAATGGATTTGATGTTGCCTCACCATTTCAAGTTGGCTCATCCCACGGTGGCCCTGCCGCTGTTGGTGGTGTTGCCAACCCGCTGATGCAGGCCCCACCGTCCAAGTGGGGGGCCGCGAGTATTGGCTCCGCGTGGGGGGCGCCGGGAAGTCGACTCGGCACGATTGGCGGCAGCGTAGGCGCCGCCCGGCCAATGACTTCTAATCGCGGTGTGGGCTTCAGCACCACAACGGGATTCAACAAGGGCGCCATGTTTGATCCCACCGGTCAGGGGCGGACGGCAATGGCGATGGGACCCGCTCCACCACTCAAGAAGCGAGGAGATAACAGTCCAGAAGAGCAGTGTATGGAGGTGGAGAAGCATATACATAAGCTTATTGAAGAAAGTGCCATGTTGGCTTTACAGAAGGATTATGGTGGGGCATTGGAGAAGGCTAAAGAAGCGGGAAAGAAGGAACGACAATTATGTAAACAACGAGAACAATTAGGTTTAATGGATCAAATTAATGCAGATCTTACCTATGCCGTACACTTTAACCTCGCAGTTCAATATCAAAATCATCAACTTTATATGGAAGCTCTTAATACATATAATCTTATTGTACGAAACCTTCAATTTCCACAAGCCTCACGTTTGCGAGTAAATATGGGTAATATTTACGCTGCACAAGGTAAATACCTTCTTGCTATAAAAATGTATCGTATGACATTAGATGAGACACCCACAGCCTCAAAGGAATTACGATATAAATTAATGCGAAATATTGGAAATGCTTTTGTAAAACTTGGACAGTACCGTGATGCAGTTAGCAGTTATGAAGCTATTATGGAAGGAGGAGGAGATATCAATACAGGATTTAATCTTTTACTTTGTCATTATGCTCTTGGAGAACCAGAAAAAATGAAACGAGCATTTCAAAAGATGATAAATTGCAAATTACCTGGAGTAGATGATGATGAAGATAATGAAGAAGAAGAAAAAGATGTTTTGGTGGATGATGCTCTTCGAAAAAAGATTAAAGAAGATCGATCAAATTTTTTGAATTGTATTATGACAGCTGCACGCCTTATAGCTCCTGTAATTGATAAAGATTGGCGTGCAGGATATGATTATTTAATTGAACGCTTACGTCACTTTGAGATGCGTGATGCTTCTTCACATGTCGCAAGTGAACTTGAAATGTGTAAATGTTTATATTATTTAAAACATAAAAGTTATAAAGAGGCAATTGATGGTCTTAAGGCATTTGAAAAGAAGGATAAGTTATTAAGAGCTCGTGCAGCTACAAATTTAGCTTATCTTTACTTTCTTGAAGGTGACTATGAGAGTGGTGAAAAATACAGTGATATGAGTCTTGAAGCTAACCGATATAATGCTAGAGCTCTCGTAAACAAGGGAAATTTTTTCTTTATTAAATCAGATTATGAAAAGGCAAGAAATTACTATAATGATGCATTAGCTGTTGAAGCAGATAATATTGAAGCTATTTACAATCTTGGTCTTACTGCTAAACGTCTTGGATTATATGAAGAGGCGTTAAAAATGTTTAAACGAGTACAATCACTTGTAGATAGTCATGAAGTAATGTACCAAATTGCTGATATCAATGATCTTGTAGGAAGTCCAGGTACGTTGGAATGGTTTAATCGTCTTATTGGTAGAGTCCCAACAGATCCAAATATTTTGGCACGAATGGGTTCCATTTACGCACGTGAAGGTGATGATAGTCAAGCTTTCCATTATTACCTTGAAGCATACCGTTATTATCAAGTAAATATGGATGTCATTGCTTGGTTGGGAGCATACTTTGTTAAAAATGAAGTATATGATAAATCTATTCAATTTTTTGAAAGAGCTGCACAAATTCAACCTCAAGAAATTAAATGGCAACTTATGGTGGCATCATGCTACAGACGTCGTGGTGAGTTTATTCAAGCAAAACGATTATATGAAACTTTACATCGAAAGTATCCAGAAAATATGGAATGTCTTCGTTATTTGGTTCATCTTTGTAAAGACAGTGGTCTTGTTGAAGAGGCTAATGAGTGGTTTAAGAAAATTAAAAAATTAGAGCAACGTCAGCAAGAAGAGGCTGAAAATGTGAATGGACGAGAAGAAGTTGATGATGGTAATAAGAGCAGTACTGGTCTTAATAACGCAGGACGACGTGTTCCTGGAGGTTCATTAACTAGAGATGATGATATCATGAAGGATGATATTGACAATGAGAATGAGAAACGTCTCGGTTCCGCATCCAAACCTAAAGCAAACGATGAAGAAGATGAAATTGTGTTGCCAGGTATTTGATGTAAGTATCAGTCGGAAGAAGGAACACGAACAACAACAAGAATAAAGAAAAAGAAATAAGGCAAAAGATAGAAAAGAGAGAGAGAGAGAGTACGTGTGTGTGTGTGAAAAGAAGAAGAAAAAAAAAAAAAAAAAACACATTATTCTGTTCCCAAGAAACAGTTCTGCGTCTTGGATTCCGTAGAGCTTATTCCTTTCTCCAATCTGAAAAATGGGAAAAATCAAAGCTTAATACACACCTACACACACATGTGCAGCGTGAAAGAAGAAGAAGAAGAAAAGAAAAGAAAAAAAAAAAGAAAGACACTACACGTCTTTCTATCATTTGTTTATTCAATGTAACTTGGTCATAATGATACGTTGAAGGCATGCTTTAGTTTTTTTTTTTTTTTTTTTTTTTTT